TGTACCTCAAAGACAAAACCACCTAACTAATTGTCAACCATAGCTGATCTCTTCTCGCTTCATTGCAGCCCCCCCCGGTTCACCAGTAGACTGCCTTCCACCCTCAGCAAACCCCAGATCTCTCTACAAGGCCTCACGCTCCTGCTATTAGCAGGTTACATGGCAACGCCCCAGCTCCGGCCAGCTTCGTTCTGGCATCGACAAACCAAGGGCACAGAACAGACCAACTCAGTTGAAATCAGTCCAGGTTCAATCATCTCTGAAGTCCTATATCCGAATGTGGAAGAATGCTAGATGCTGCCAAAACTTCAGAACACCAAAAAGCTTAATATAACAATAATCAGATGATGAAACTGATGGTGTGATGATGATGATGATGATGATGATGATGCTATATCAGCTATTCTGGGCTCCTAATCCCAGTACAACTCCTAGCCCTCCCTGTACCAGGACACTATACTACAGAGACAGAAACAACCTGACCAACATCAACCATAGCTGATCTCTTCTCGCCTCCTTTCAGCACCCCCCGGTTCACCACTGGAATGCCTTCCACCCTCAGCAAACCCCAGATCTCTCTACAAGGCCTCACACTCCTGCTATGTACAGGTTACAGGGGAATGCCCCAGCTCCGGCCAGCGTCGTTCTGGCATCGGCAAACCAAGGGCACAGAACAGAGCAACTCAGAAGATATCAGTCCAGGTTCAACCATCTCTGAAGACCTATATCCCAGATGTGGAAGAATACGAGATGCATCCAGAATTTCAGAACACAAAAAAGCTTTATATAACAATAAAAAGATGATGATAGACGAGAATTTCAGCACACCTCCATTCTCTCCAATACCCTATCTATCCCTTTATTCTAATCTGCCCCCGCTGGGATTTGATGCCCAACCCCAGAAAAGAGTATTCCTCACAATGTGCCCATACCCCCTCCAGGATTCCACCTCCCTCCTAATGAAACCCCTGCGGGGCAGAGCTCTCCCCTAACCCCTCACCAAATTGTCATTCCTCTTCGATTTTGTTGGAGGCGAAGGATAGCGCCCTGAAGATAATGATAACGGGAATGATGGTGATGATACTCATGATAATGATTATGATGATATCAATAATGCTGCTGCTGCTACTGCTGCTGCTGCTGCTGCTGCTGATGATGATGATGATGATGATAATGATGATGATGATGGTGATGGTGATGATGATGAAGATGAATATGATGATGACGCACCAATGAAGATGCTCATATTGATGATGATGATGATGATGATGATATGTCAGTTATGCTGACGATGATGATGAAGATAATGATGATGCTGATGCTGATGATGATGATACTAATGATGATGATACTGATGATGATGATGATGATTATGATGATGATGATGAAGCTGATGATGAAGATGATGATGACTCACCAATAAAGATGCACATAATGATGATGGTGATGTCAGAAATGTTGCTACTGCTGCTGATAATGCTGATACTGATGCTGCTGCTCCTCTCTGTCCTTTTGTTGCCCAACACTCCCGCTGCCACGTTCTTTCCACCTCGATGCTGAACATGAAGATGATGGTGATGATGATGCTGTTGATGATGGCGACGATGATGACTAATCTCGTATATAGGCCATGCGTGTCATCCGGTATAAATCTCCCAACGCTTGTCGCCCCTCCTTAGCGCTTGTCCAACGCTAGAAATCGGATCCCGCCCATGAGCGGAAATGCTTTCGCCCCTACGAACCTGTCGTAGCGGTGCTTGGCATCCGACAACTAATCAGGATGTCAATTCTCACTCCTCCACCCTCCTTCCTTCCCCTCGCCACGTGGAGACCGTGGAGAGAGGACGCTGCCACGTGGAGGGCAGGAGTACACCCACCGGAAGCATCATCAGCTAAAACACCAATGTTCGCGCTTCTCTCTCGCGCCTAATGGCGTGCACACTTCTACACTGATGCCCTGGCTGCGTGTGCTAACCACTCATGGTGCTCTTCATCCCCCCGTCGTCCTCATCGCCCAACACGCTCGAATTTCATGGCGCGCCCTAGAACTTCGATATCTCATCATCGGCTGGACCGTTTGGTCTGAAATTTGGACCACCTCAGCTCCTCAGCGTAGACCACCGGTGGTCCAATTTTCAGCTCAGGGCGCGCGCGCCATTTTCCTTGCTGCGTGCAGTTATCCAGCGCGCGCAACTCCACTCCGTGGCGGTGACCTTAATTGATGATTGATGCTGTCGGGGCGCAGCGCTCCCGGTAGCGCTGCGCCCTTAGGCAACCACCTCAGCAACCATAAAGTGTAGTAAAGTCCCCAGCAGCCTGGTGGTACTCTCTCCATCTTCCGCTCCCCTTCCCCCTTTCCCTCTCTTCCTTTCCACTTCCACTTTTCCGCTCTTCTCCACCCCTTTCCCCTTTTCCGATCTTCGCCTATGACACTCCTCCCTCTCCTCTCCCCTTTCCCCCCTGCCCCCCTCCCCTCCTCCCTCCTCCTTATACTGTCTTCCCCTTTCCCTCCCCATTCCGCTCGCTTCCCCCCCTTCCCTCCTCTTACCTCCCCTCTTCCCCTACCCCGTTATACTGCCCTTCCCCCTCCGCTCCCCTTCCCTATCCCCTCCCCTCCCCTTCCCCTTCCCCTTTCCCTAACCCTTCCCCTCTCCCTACCCCTTCCCCTCCTCTTCCCCTCCCTCCACGCATCCCTTTTCCTTGCTTTCCCCCTCTTCCCCTTTCCCTCCCCTCCTTCCTTTTCTCTCCCCTTTCCCTCCCCCCACCTTCCATTCCCCTTCTCCTTCCCTGTCTCCTCCACCTCCCCTTCGTCCTCCTCCCCTTTCCCCTCCCTTCCTCTTGTCCTTCCTCTCCAACTCCCCTTGCCCCCCCCTCCCTCCCCTCCCTGTGTTCCCCCCTCCCCTTCCCCTTCCCCTTTCCGCCCCATTATCCTTGCCCAGTTCTTCCCCCGTTCGCCCCCCTCTTCTCATTTCCACCCTACCTCCCCTTTCCCCTTCTTCCCCAAGTTTCCCTTCCCGTTCTTCTCCTCCTCCCCCTCATTCCCTGACTATCTCTGGTTCCCCTTCTTCCTGCCACTACGTGTTTCCCTTCTCCTTCCTCCTTCCCCTGGTCCCACTTTCGCTCAGCCTTTCCCTTCCTCCTCGTGGCCCCAGTGCCCTTCGCCCTTCCTCCTCCCTCCCTTGCCCCGGTTTCCCTTTCCATTCCCCTTCCCATTACTTTCTCCAATCTTCCCCCCACCCTTCCCCTTCCCTTCTCCGCTCTTTGCCTTCAATTTCCTTTCTCTCTTCCCGGTGCCTTTCCTTTGCACCCTTTCCCCCCTCCCYTCCCCCCCCTTKTTYTSCTTCCTTSTCCCCTCYCTKTTCCTTTCTCMCCSCTTCYCCCYCCCCCCCCCCCCCCCTTCTCTTTTCCTCTCACTTTCACTACCCTTTTTCTCCCCCGGATTCACTTCCTTATGCCCGCTGCTTCCCGTTCTCTTTCCCCTCTCCTTTTTCTTTTCACCTCACTTTCCCTTCCCTTGACCCCCCTTTTCCCTCTCCTTTCCCCTTCCCCTTTCCACTCCCCACCTTTCCCCTTCCCCTTCTCCTTTCCCCATCACCACCCCCCTTTACTTTTTCCTTCCCCTCTCTCGTCTCTTTACCGTTTCCGACCCCCTTTACCCCTCCCTTCTCCTTCCTCTCTTCTGCCCGGGTACCAAATCGAGAGAGCTCCAGTAGTGGTCACCAGTCATCCCCCGTAGGTGTAGAGGAGAGCCATGGTTGTGCCATAGTCAGCAGGTGTAAGGTAGTGAAGAGGTGAGTGAGCCTACCTAAGGAAAATGTAAAGGTAGAAAGCAGCCATGGTATTGGAGACACAATATTGAGTCGATGATAACCTGTTGGAGGTCTATATTGATGATGCTGTACCTGAATGAATCAAGATTACGAGCACTGCTTCGGAAGTGATCAGTCTTGCTACCCCCAAAGGGAACCAAATCATAGTACATGTAACATGCTCACATTTCACCACCATTTCCGGCAGTGATCATTGGCCGATCATTCAGTCCTTTTCCATTAATTTGGTTACGAATGGCCTGAGTACATGCCTTGGATAAGTCCCTGCACATCAGTCCCGACTCCCAAGCCTTAGAGGCTCACCCCAAGCCTAACCCTGGGCATATTGCTATCATCCATGTGATGGTCATGGTCCAATCCAGAAAGGCTTACATTCACAACTACAAAGATTGAGCCTTGATGACAGTCTTAAACTAGAACTTGCACATGCCTGGGGGCAGAAAAAGATTCCTTTATGTTCCTAGTGGCATCTTAAGCTTCCAGCAAAGTAGAGCCTCCTGGTATGGTGATGCACTAGAAACGGCTTACCGGAAGTTATGGCAAGAGGGTAGGAAGAGTTCCGCAACCATCTTTTAACGGTGCTACAGGATGGCTAAATCTTGAAGCGCTTTCATTTCCTCATTTTGTCTTTGAAGCAGGGCTGAAGTGGAAAGACCTTCCTGCTCACACCAGGAAATCTTGTGAATGAATGTAAACGCAAATGTGGTCTGATGCCTGCAGAATAACTTGGTGTGGGTATAGAATCCCTCAGTGAGCCACTTACTTTTCAGGATCCGCCTCAAAGAGTTCTTCCCCTGACCCTTGCTTTTGGAGAGAGTGTGATAGTTGCTCGTCGGATCGCCACAACCCTTTCCGGCTTCCCTCTTCGCCATGGGGCTGATGCTGACTTTGCTGCTGTCCATTCCCCTGAAAAAAGCCAAGTAAGGCACCCACAGACAAAAGACAAGTCCATTCTGTGCCCTTGGACTAGCTCAGTTATGACAAGGAAAAAATTCATGTGAGCTCTCTTAAACCTCTTCAAGATTCCATCAAGCACTCACAACCATGGAGGATGCTTGGTCACAGGCATTGACCCATGTGAACAGATCTCTCTCTCTCTCTCTCTCTCTCTCTCTCTCTCTCTCTCTCTCTCTCTCTCTCTCTCTCTCTCTCTCTCTCTCTCTCTCTCTCTCTCTCTCTCTCTCTCTCTCTCTCTCTCTCTCTCTCTCTCTCTCTCTCTCTCTCTCTCTCCCCCTGTCTCACCCACACACTTACACAAATGCATGCGCAGAGTGTGCACAGGGACACACAAATAGGGAATGTATATAACCATAGACACACACAAACATCGATAACTTGGGCCTTATTCTTTCTGGGTGCCATGTAGACAATTGGAAAAGAAGGGCCAGGGGCAAATCACATATCGATGGAAAGAACCGATGAACAAATTCTCTGTATGTTAGAGACTGAAACGGGGTGACAGGTTAAAGACTGGTTCATGTTCTTTGAAAGTTTGGATATTTGGTCTTATGACTCTTAATTCGATTATGCTCGCAGTCATGATGATGCCCAATCAGACAGTAATTGGTGCACTCAATTCGGTGCTCACGTAATGAAAGTTTGAGCCACTGTACACCTCGATTGTGTTCATGATTTCCGTCAAACTATTAGTGAGTACATCGTGCACCTTTGATGAGTCCGCTTACCGCGCTACATGAACAAAAATTTTACTGACAAATCAGCAAGAGGCTAAGAGCTCATTTGTCATTGATGGGAGAATGGCCTATCTAATCGATGTCATATGGGCCCATTGGAGACTAAGGTTCAAGTTGTCCAACAGTTCCTGCAATCCACCAACTCCAGTCCGTTCTCATCCTTGTCAACTACCAGTACCAACTCATACCTAGTTTGCAGACATGGCATGCCCATTACATGAACTCACACATAAAGGTGCAACCTTTGTTTGGATGGTAGACTGCAAACACAGCCTTCAAACAACTCCAGCACATTGTAACCAAAGCTGCTGGACTATACATCGCTTGGCACTCTTGCCCCATTCACATTTCCATGGTAACTATGCTGCAGCCACATGAACTAGCCGCCATAATGAATTGGAACTCTCAAGCACATTCTCAAGAGGTCTTGCAACCAATGCCAACAATACTCGCATCGCACCTGTGCACCGTGCCGTGAGGTGTGCGGATGGGTGATGCACACAGACCTCGCACACAGGTGCGGTGTGCTTGGTTGCGTGTGACACACACACACACACACACACACACACACACACACACACACACACACACACACACACACAGAGATGATGGTACGAAGTTCAAGCCATGTTGTATCTGTTTAAGACTTGACAGTTCACGGGTGTAATGTTACCAGGCAAGCTGAAATGAACAATGGATTCTCACCATCACCCTCTTCTTCTCCTGTCGCATTTTGGAGAGCCGCATTTGATCAAGCTTCCTCCTCCAATGAGCCTGCTTGTACACATCCAGTACATTTCCGTAACATCCTATAAGTAGCAGCACTTTCGTGTCAAGAGCAAGAGGCCAAGTGACAATCACAAGGGAACTAAGCAACAGAAGAATAGAAGCAAGATGGATGAGATCAGACTTCAATTTCGAGGACAAAGAGTTTACCAACTTCACCCTGATAAACATGTACAGCCCCAACTCACACGCCCAAAAAATCAGCTTTTCGAGCTCAATATCCCAACTCTCACACTTTCGGTCTCCATAGCCCACCCAACTGTCCTTTACGGATAGGCACCTAACCTTAGTAGGAGATAGGTCTCTCAGGCGCGATAGCAAAGGAGACGCTACAGTAGTCTGCATCGAGACGGACACAACTTATTTTATTTATCCAGTCGCGTGGTTGGAGATGCCCAAGTTGGAAGTTGGAACGCAGTCCAAAGTTCGGAGCAAGACAGAATATGAATCATTATACGACGAATATCCAAGGCAGTAGAACCTGGAAAGTGAAGATCAGGAACACCTGAAACGGTATTCACCAATCCGCAGTAGCGAATGCAGATCCCAGGGCTCGATCCCTAGTTCCCCGTCTTACCTGTGTACAGTATTAGTGTCAACCCGTAGACTTGAACCTGCGACCTGTAGGAACGCCAGTGGTAGGTAGGTTGTCGTAGGTCACAGGGTAGAAGGGAATCGAACTGTAGACCTGTAGCGTAGGAGTCTAGACAATTCCAGAGTCGTAGTTGTAGGATCTCCGAAGGGTCAAGGTTGTAGCCGCTACTTACCTGAAAGGGCAAAGTCGTAGCTGCTACAGTACCGAAAGGCCAAATGAGAGACTTCTAGAAGTGGCCTTTCGGAGTTAGCCTGTGTTCAACCGAGGCAAGTGGTCAAGTGGTGGTAGGCCGCCTCGCTGAGTCAACAGTCCCAGTTAGTCAGTCCGGTCCTGTCCAGCAAGTACCGTCTGGGACTGTGGGCACATCGTGGGCCAGGGGATACAGGGCAGACCAACGCAGCGCCGAAGTATAAATCAAGAGGTTGCGTCCAGCCATTCATTCATTCCTGCGGATGCCATGCAGAAGCGCTGCCTCAGCAGCTTGTGCGAGGAGGTCTGCAGTGCGCCCGAAGACGAAGTGGGCAGAGAAGTGTAGTGTAAGGATAGGGTAGTGGCAGCTAGCGCTGCCATAGCTGTAGTATAGTGTGTGTGTGCGTTGTGTATAGACACTGAGTGTTGCGTGTGGGACATCCAGGGTGATCTTGAGTGTGAACAGTGAGTTGTGTGGGCGCACAGTCGCCATAGCCAGTGGAAGAGAACTCTTATCTGGTTACAATATCTTCGAGTACTGTGAGGGCGCATGTCGCCAGTTTGCTGATTCGCTGTTTGCATGCATGTCGAAGTGTGACTAAGTCGAGTCTGATTGCACACCTCTACATGAATGATGAATTAATTGGGCAGAAAATATCTGTGAAGTTCGACCCCTTCCGTCTCCTGCATCCCAATGACAAAAACGTCTTCCAGGCTGCATAAGACAAACCACCAGCAGTAGAAACGCCTTCTGAAGAATAAATATTTTGAAACAAGTGCGGACGCGGCAGGTTTCGAATGGGCAAAAAAAACATCCGTGGGCGAAACAAACAGCTACCAAACTCGAATGGGCATGCACGGGCGAAACAGATCACGGTCCGCCCCTATCGTAATGACACCTGTGTCTCGGTCACGGCCGCAGTACTTTCATTGCCTTTTCGCACTCGGCGGCTGTTTTCTTTGCCTGCACCGTCTGACACCACGGTCCACCCCTATCATAATGACACCTGGGTCTCGGTGGCTGTTTTCGTTTCCCTCCCTTTCCCGTCTGACACCACGGTCCGCCCCTATCGTAATGACACCAGTGTACTTTCATTGCCTGCGCCGTCTGACACCACAGTATTTTCATTGCCTTTTCGCATTCGGCGGCTGTTTTCTTTTCCCCCCCTTTTCCCGTCTGACACCGCTGTCCGCCCCTATTGTAATGACACCTGTGTCTCTGTCACGGCCGCAGTACTTTCATTGCCTTTTCGCACTCAGTGGCTGTTTTCTTTGCCTGCACCACTGCATGTATTTTTTTTTGCGCATTTGAAACTCTGTGCTGACATAAACGTACTTGCCCCATATACTTTTAAAATTTCTGCTCTCTGAGTCGGTGAGAAGAGCAATCCTAGAGGCTAATATTGGACGCCAAGAAGTCTACCCCATCACAAAGGTTTAGAGTCTGTAGGCCACAACACAGTCATCAACCTTTATTGTAGATTCTCCACCGACAACCAAATAGGTAGAGGCTTCTTCAAGATCAATAACTTGCTACTAACGATTAAGGAAATGAAACAGCAAATAGTAGCGCTGGCTATTGAGAAACTACGGGTGGAACCAGGTCTCCAAGGCCCCATAGATCTAGGAGAAGCCCTAAAGAACATTTGGGAAGATATCTCAAAGAAATCACCAGGAGTTAGCTAGACATAGAAGGGAAAGAAAGGAACATGTAAAATTTTGTAATAGAAATCGCAGAGAAAAACGCAATCAGGAAACCAGACTCCAATCTTTTGTGACTCCTCGCTGACCCGATTAAGATTAGAAGTAGCAGAATGGGCCATATGGAAGCTTAAACCGCCAGTAGTCCAAAGGGACTCACTATAAACTCATAATGCCCATATCTAGTCCGGAAGGCAGTCTTGTACTGATCATCAGGATGGAATTCTATCTGATTTCTTTTCATCACCTACAAAAAATTTGGAGGCTCGGGACTACCGGACCACAACAGCTGGCGGTGCAAGTAAAAAAAGAACAATATTGCACCGCCAGCGGATCAAGAAAGTTTGGTGTGCAGTGCGGCACCACCAGGCCCGGATGTACTGGTGGTTTGAAGGCCTACAATTCAGAGCAAGAGTGAATGCGAGAGGGCAGAACCGTGGGGAGGGGATTAAATTCCCAGTCACCCTGCTAGTACTTGCAGATCATTTCTGGTGACCTGTTGGTTGAAGAGGCAGATTTTTTCCGTCTGCTCAGTCATATCTTCCTACTAGTTCCTAGCTCTAATGGAGGCCTGACCTTAGTTGGAAAGGCAGAGTAAATTCCTGATGGCATTAAACCACCAGTACCTGGCCCAGCTATCGAGTCCGAGCCTCAGCCGACCGGTACGCCGATCCGTGCCGAGGCTTGGACTACCCGGCGCAGGCATCCCGAACGTCGGAGTGAAAGAATGAAAAAAACGGGAAAAAAAAAACGAAAAAAAAACGAAAAAAAAAACGAAAAAAAAAAACGAAAAAAAAAAACGAAAAAAAGTATGGCAGTGTATATTCCCACAATATAGCGCCACATTCATTCGATTTTGCTCATCCTACGGAGGGCGCAGTACCATGAGGCCAGCCGTGAAAAGAAAGAGAGAGAGAGAGAGAGAGAGAGAGAGAGAGAGAGAGAGAGAGAGAGAGAGAGAGAG